AAAAAAAATTTATTTAAAATTTAATTGAATTTTAAATTTATTATTTTTTATAAAATACCAGGGAATTTAAAAATTATTTTTCAACGATTTAAAGTTTTAGGCACAAAAAATACGTGCAACAAATACAATTACAAGAATGTGACAACATTTTGGGTGATATTTATCATAAATACAATTAAAACATAATGGTTTGTGCAGCATGCGCAATCATTATTACTTCATTCTGAATGAAGTATGATGTTATTAAACAGAGGTTGGAAAACAAACTTCATCATTTTTGAAAATATTTCTTTCACATGCTATTTGAGATGCAAACAATGCATATTTTAACATGTCACAAAAAACTGGTGTGCCCAACTGGTTGTGAATTAGAGTATTTGAAGAGCATGCTTAATAGCCAAGAGTATTTGAAGAGCTTAATGAATTGGCTATTTTTCTATCAGTTTTAAGGAGATAGCACTAGTTCTTGTTGATGCCATAGGAATATCCATATCCTTCCAAATCAACTACAGTATAAATAAATAAAACATCTGTAAAAATTGGGTGGCATGCTTAATGGTTTTATTTATACTGACCATCATAGCCAAATTAATGATATGATATATTTTTGTTTTTGCCAGGTACTAGAATTAATTCCCAATGGCTCGAGAATTCAGGTGACCAATCAGAACAAGCTACAATATCTTGACGCTCTAGCACAGTATCGATTAGCAAATAGTGTGAAAGAAGAAGTGGAATATTTCCTTAAAGGACTTAATGATCTCATTCCAGATAATTTACTTTGTATATTTGATGAAAATGAACTTGAGGTGATTGTCTATATATATTAATATTTCTTTTTATCAATAATATTTATAATATCAAAAAATAAATTACACTAAANACACCTAATCTATATCTGTCTACTGGATAAGACTAAAGTTTCTATTGGTACAACTCTCGAGGGGTGGACGTTTCCGTTAAGTGACGTATCTAACGGCCCTCTTCTACAAATAATCTGTTTCTTGTGTCCGCAGGGTTTACGAAAAGTCTGTAGGAACTCTCTACGAAAATTCTTATTGACGAAACAATAAGTAAGTGGATTGCAACAGGAAGAAGTATAGGAGAGTAAGTGGAAGAAAGAGATGCCGCAGTGTCCCAAACTGTCGTAAACACTACCGGATACGTAAACAGACACTGTATTAATGACGTAGACGGGGGTCCAACATATGAAGTATTCTAAAACGACAACGAATAGCATTCTTATGACTCTGTTCTTGACAGCTAGACGATGTTGTATGTTATTTGTACGTATGTCACCGTTATCTTTGCTGTACCAATTTCGATAAGTATCGGAAGAGCCTACTTCACCTGTCGAAATTCTGTTCCTGTTCCACTTCACTATCATTTTTGGGGGTTCTCCGGATATGCAATCTTGTATGGGTGGGTTGACGCAGTTGTAGAAACCCGTAGCGCTCGTCCGTGCGATTTCTATAGCTAAACAATGGTTAATTAATTTTTAGGAAGTTTTTTGGAAATTTTGGTGATTTTTTTACCTACTTTTTGCACATTTTTCGCTATCTACGATGCCTTGTTTTAGTACTAACGCGATCTTTCCGTACACTGTTGCCATTAGTCCGAGTGGTAGAATTAATAGAAAGACATCTAAACAGATGTTAAATCCACCCTCTAAAATTTCGTTTGGCCAGTTTTCTCGGCACTTGTATTTACCTAAAAATTACAAAAAAAAATCATTAATAATCGCTCTTTATTCTAATTTTTTCTTCATTTTATAAATATACAAACCTGATAATTCCACGGGTAGTAAACGGCTTAAAAACGCAACAGGAGACATCAAAATCATAGAAAAAATCCAGATTAAAAGCAAAATTCTGTAAGCGTGACACGTTGTTTGCCAACGACGTGATTTTAAAGGTTCGCAAACAGCGTAATAACGTTCTAGAGATATGGCAACCAAAGTCCAAGCATTAACGGCCACCGAAACGCCTAAAAAAAGCATAAAAATGACATAAATTATCCAAAAATATTAAGTTTTAATATTATTTAATTAATTTTTTTTCGAAAATATTATTTAAATTGGATAATTATTTAAAAAAGTTAAGAATTATGGAGGATTTCCGCGTATAATGCGCACGCGAAAAGCAATTAAATTTCGTTTTAAACGAGCATTTAATCGAATCGAATTTTGTCTAAAATTAATCTTATTTTGTTCTAAATTAAAAATACAAAATTTTATTAACTTAGACAAAGTATTTTTTTTTATAAGAAAGCTCTTTAGAAAGAACCTTTTAAAAGGTACTTCCGAATGAGATTATGTCTTCCACTCCATTATCTTAGTACATAACAAATAAATTTTATTAAAATTAAGTTAGATTGGTTTTATATTATTTTATAAACATATCTACTCAGTTCTTTGTTCAAATATTGACTTTGTTTTATTCTTATCAAATTAAAAAAGGAAAAATTTGAAAATTAAGTAAAATAAGTAGCCTCAAATTATATATAAAAAACAACCAACCTACAAACACTATTGAATGGGTTTAAGTGGTTATTATTTGTTTAAATTTATATCTCAACTTACAATAATTATCAAATTACAATCTGATAAAAAGTGTTTGTTCATATGTTAAATGTGTTATTTTATATAAATCATCAAATTATAAATGACTGAAATAATCAGTTTCCAATTTGTTAAGAGCATTTAATCAAACAGCCTTAATATCGCTCTTATTAGATGGATGAAAAAATGAAAGAATTTTGAAAATATGATTTATGGTTTGCATAGCTTATTTTGCATTGTTACTTTAATAATCTGTGATAATTACTAAACACTTCAGGCTAATTAACTTTTTTCTTTTGATGGATTTTAATGAATACTTTCATTAGAAATGAAGATGAGAAAAATAAAAAAAATTCAATACATTCCACTCTGCTGCCTTTATAAACTTTGGAATCAGTACACTGAGTTATTAAGAATTTGACCTGCAACTCTTAAATACTATGTTTTTATATAACCTGGATCTACCCATTCTTAATGAGGAAGGAAATCATTTCCTTCCTAATAAATGGGCATGGCATTATACTATACTTTTCTGAAAGTCTTTAAAAATATAAAATTTTATGAAAGAAACTTTACAAATGCATTTTTATTGTTTTATTTCTCTTTGAATTGATGCAAAATGACCTTTTGTTTTTGTTTTTAACAGTTATTGATGTGTGGTACAGGTCAGTATAGCATAGCTGATTTTAAAGCAAATCATGCTGTCAGTGGATCATCATATGAATTTAGAAGAGTAAGTAAAGTGTTATAATGTAATAAACTTTACATTTTAATATTATTATTCTAAATTCTTTCCATGGATCAAACACAATAAACAGAATCACAACATTTAAGTATGATTTTAAGTACAGGATTAAACTGAAGGTACTCAGGCAACCTGGAACTGGCTGTACTAAACCAAATTAAAAAAAAACTCAGTACACACACGCAATGCAGATCATGGGAGGAAAAATTAGTTGAAATTTTCACTATGAGAAAATATGGCACTGTTTAACTGAAAATGTATGTTTCTGTTAGATATGTGCACTCTGTGTCAGAGCTGAAGGCCAACATAGTGCAATACATCTTCCAGATTCCTCCAGAAATGATATGTATAGCAGTTGATAATGCAGTTTTATTATTGCAACATGTGGTTGACAGAGAAGGATCTTGCACTGAGCACGTAATGTAAATGCGTAAAATGTAATTTTATTCTTCTAATGAAATTTTATCCATTTGCCTTAAAATTGTCATCCTTGCAGTGCCATATTTTTCCTGGTGGTGAAAATTTAAACTAATTTTTTTCTTCCTTGAATCTTTCTCACAATCTGCATTGCGTGTGTACAGAGTTTCATTCGATTTGGTTTAGTAGAGCCAGCGCTATGTGTGTCTGAGTACTCTCAGTTTAATACTAGCCATTCTGTATAATATTTTAAAATGATGGTCAATAGTAATAACAAACTTAATGATACTTTTAACAAATATGATAAAATTAAAATTATATTTTCAAAATTACACAAAAGAAAAACCTGCAGCAGTTTATTTTAATCAAATTTAAACTATAAAATTACTATTCAAGTAATTATACAAACAACAAAGAGCTAACCTACAGGATTATTGACAGGATTTAAGAGTGCTATTAATTAGATAAACAAGTAAAACGGCAAAACCGTATTTGGGACAAGACTGTCTCGGAGACTCACTACTAATAAGCAAAATCACTTTGACACTCAAGGCAGGTCTTGTTCTCATTCTCCAATCTTCTTTGGTATCGCTGCTTTGGGCATGATTGTTCAAACTTCGCTGGCCACGACCACAAGGTTGTCCATGATGCATTTTCGATGAAATCAACCTATCCAGTTTCGAAATTTCTCTCCATTGCATGTTGGCCCGGGTTGAATTTTTGTCGATGCATAAAAAAAATTTCCAAGTTTTGAAAAAAATACTCATGGCTGTTGTATCGTCCAAAATTATTTTTTTATTTTGCACAAACAATATACAGTTTAATCCAATTATAACATTGTCTGATGTGACGACAAATTATAAAGTCAAATTTTTATTGGTCCCAAAATTTTACTATACTAAATAATGTTAAAAAACCTATTTGTAACGACATAAAACCCTGTTTTAATGTCATATTTGAGCACTCCCAAATTTACAAAATTAGATTACAAATTTTATTTAATAAAAAAAATACTACATGTTTAGTCCTAGGGTCAGAGTCCACTTCCTAGAACGACTGTGGGTGGTACTCTCACCACCTGACTTTGGTTTGTCTGTTTGTAGAGAGAGTTGCCATTTTGTATTCTATTTTGACTTGATTCTCAGTCCCCTGAGTACCTACAAGTCTGGTTTTTTTATGCGTGCATGATTTGGGCACCTAATACTCTGTGCCAAATTGCAATTCCTGACATGTACTTCTTCATACCTCTAAGCTTGTAACAAAGCAGCAAGTATGATTTTATAAACAAGACATAGTCTTGTCAATAAACTACATAATCTGCCCTGTAGAAATTAATATTAGGACAAGATGGTAACATAAGCACCTACCTTTAGATCAAGTTATGTAGTTTAATTATCTGATTAATATTATAATTTATAGCCCTGTAAATACTCCAATAGTTGAGACCTGTGGTTATTCAATGAAATAAAGTAGTGAAAGAATTGGATAAAGTTTGGTAGTGATCTTTACCATGCCAACTTTATAAATTTAATTCAGTAGTTTAAATGTTTCTTTAATGATGTGCAAAAGCATAATTTTATCATTATTGGTAAAAGAATCATTTGAATATTTATACTTTTTAAAATTTATTCTTAAGAAATTTTCAAAAAAATATATTTTATTCATGGGATATATTTGTTTATACTAATATAATATACAAAACCACATTTAACAACTTTGAATTTTTCTCTATCATTAACACTCTCTTGTCTTATCTTTTCACAAAGACCCACCAATTTGATACTGCTGTGAAAGGCTAAAATCCAGATTTTCTGCATTAGTAACAGAGCAGCAAGTATGATTTTTTGCCAAATATTTGAAAAAAATTATTAATCTGATGATCTGAAATTATCTGTTTTGCCACTAACCCCTGTGGAACACCACAGGGATTAGTGGCAAAACAGATTTCTTGCAGCAAACCAAAGTTGTTGAAAGTTGTTTTTGTGTGAATGCATAAAGTTTTATATTGTCCATGTACATACATGCGATGTGACAACGTAAATTGTGTTGTTTTTTCATGTCTGATATTGTAATCATGTTGCCTGTTGTTTAACATGTTAGATAATGGGTTCAGGGCTAAGCAAAATCAGATAGGACTCAAGGAATTTCCTTGCCTAATGATTATTATTATTATTGAAATTAGAAAATAATAAGCTCTCTGCTGGGCATTATATTTTTTCAGGCCTATGACAGAGTGATCAGGTGGTAAGAGATGGATTCTAACACATCCAGTACAGACTTTGAATATTGACTTTTATTTCTTTAATTTTCTTGGACAATTATTAATTTTTTTATATTTATAAAACATTTATATGACTTATAGCAGTAATGTATTTCAAAATTGTTTTTTTGAAATATTATATAACTATAAATTCATTTTCACTGGTCAAGGACAGGATAGCATTACATTCATGTTACTAATTACTGTGAGCTAATTATCTAGATCAATGGTATTCAAATATTTTAACAGTGCAACCCCAAGGTAATTTTCCGTGACCCCATTTGGGGTCGCGACCCATAGATTGAATATCACTGCTATAGATTATATTATAAGAATTTAGCAATTTTATTCAAATATTGCTTTAGAATACATAATCACTTACTTTCATTATAATAAATATAAAGCAGAAAACATTAGAAAACTAATTGATTTTCACCTTTAGTAATGCTTGCTACTATCAGTAAACTGAACTATTTTGTGAGAAATTTTACATTACAAGTACTTGTCCATTTACCAATTAGAAACAATATTTTTGAAAGTGTCTAAGGGAAAAGGATATTGACCTTGATATAATTGTCATGTTTGATTGATTATTTAGTATAAATATATAAAAAAAAAATATATATATATAAA